CCATTCTTGTACCCTGAAAAGCTCCTTCCAGAAATAAATCGCAGCAAATTCACGCCAGCCTGAATATCCCAAACTGCCACTGGCTCACACTTGGGCCAGAACCTTATGGAATCCATGTTAGTAGAAAAGTATCTCATGTTTTCCTAGCTACACAAAATTAACTTATTTCTGTGTAAAAAAATATGCCCAATTAGTAGATAATTCAAGGATAAGCAAAGGAAAAGAGATAGCAGAGTCTTTAGCAAACAGCAGAGCTCAATATTATTGATTAAACACAAGCATATGGTAACGTCTCTGGGTTCGGAAAGTACAGCAATTACGTCAGTTATCCCAGCTACATTTTCTCCCTTCCACAGATGTCTTTATTTCCTCATTGCCACCAATAGAAATAATATCAGCAGAGGAATACATTCGGATTCACCTGTTCTGAAAGCAGAAGGTGTTGGCAACACTGCTCCTAACAACCACAGTTACAGACTCAACCAGCAGGCCAGTGCTCCCACATGTTGTGCCACACGTTTTATCTGCACATCTTCTCATTTAGGATACCAAGCAAAACAGTTTGAGAGCCATCACTCACTGAAACCTCTCCAGCACACCTCTTCAGACATGCTGGTTCACTTTTAGCTGGTGCTGTGTGGAGCCAGATGATGATGAAGAAGCCAAAAGGCGCTGGCACTGCTGCCCAGAGAGCTGTGGGTGCCCCATCCCTGCAGGCACTCCAGGCCAGGTGGGATGGGGCCCTGGGCAGCCTGAGCTGGTGGGGGGCAGCCCTGCCCACGGCCGGGGGTGGCACTGGGTGGGCTTTGAGCTGCCCTCCAACCTGAGCCATTCTATACGTTTGACCCCTGGGAGCCCCTTCCAACCTGGGATATTTTACAACTCTTCCATTCTACCATTCCCTGAAGTTGAAATTTCTAAAGTTTGAGCTTTAGATCCTACCTTGTGCAAGGATGCCTAGTGTAACAGAAAAGCTCACCTTTGCTGAATTTGCTGACAGAAGACAAAAGGAGAAAAGACAGCAAGACTCGTATGCATCGACCCAACTTTCCTCCAAAGCACCAGTCACAGCAGCCTAAAACCACGGCAGCAAAGGAGCAGATCGCCCCTAAGACAGCTTGTTATTCCAGAATTTAGGCAACCTGAAGATGCTCCCAGCCTTTATATCTCCTTTACGTCTTCCAAAGGCTTCCAAAGGCCTGGAGGTTTGGTCACTGCATTCGGAAGGCAGGCACCACAGAGTGCACACAGGGTGAGCTGAGGGCATCTCCCACCCCAGAGATGACACCGCACACAGAGGAGTCGCTCCCCTCTCAACCCTGCCCCCAGCACTCAGAACCAGGCCGGCTCCACATGCGACGCAGTGCCCAAACGGGACTGTTCTTCTACACAACACTGCGCTAATTCTCCTGCATTCAGTCCCTCCACTTGAATGGAATAAAAACCCTTTTCAGAACAACAATTCCGATTCTCCCCCCCCCCTTTTTTTTCTCAGGCATACTATGGGACTCCTCAGTGCATGCACAATGCAAATAAGGCAAACTTCCTTTGAAAGAGTGATTAATATGCAAAGACAGCCCACTTTTTGTGGGATGCGAAGAGCCACCAACAGGCATTTCCAAATTCCGAGGTTCCTTCAATTATTTCCACTGTTTATGTTAAGATTACGCAGTAACACCACACATTAAGACCGATTTGCCAATATTATGTAAACAACGCCAAATTGACCGTTCATCTTTTGTGTCATATTTAAATGCAGCCCTGGACATCCCAGCTACAGAGATGTTGGAAGAAAAAAAAAAAAAGAATTGAAATCTGAATGTTTTATAAATCCCAGTTTTCTTGTTAAAAAGATTACATTTTAAAAATACAGTGCAAAAAATAGCTTTTTTTTTTTTTAATTAGCAGGGTTTTTTTTTTTTTTAAATACAGCAACAAATTCTACAAAACTTGAAATATTTAAAATAATATTCACTACCTCATTAGAAACTCATTACTGCGACAATTAACTAACATCTGTATGGATACATCACGCAATTCCAATAACCACTCAGAACATTCTTTCCATGGAGACACCAATCCTCACTCACCACTCAACCAACATCTCCTCCACACAACCCATCCACTCCCCTCCTACAGCTTTAGGCTGCCATTCCCTTTGGAGCCAAAAAACGTCTTCCAAAAAGCACTCCTACAGTCCAGACTTTGGCTCTCTCCACTTTCCAAGACATCTCCTCAAGGCATGGGTTGGACATCACCAACCGAGCTTGAATCTCAAACTGCCACCACGCAGAGCTGAGCTATCGCTGCATCCATCTCCGCCCATGTCATCACCTCCACCTGGCAAATCAAACCGTCCCCACCGTGCCGACAAAGCATCACAGGATAGGGAACACATAAGGGAAGGGACACATAAGGATCGCTGAGTCCAACTGGATGTAGTTGGAAGCATCATTGGCCCAAATTCAGTAAATTACAACTCTGGTTTTCTGAAGCAATTTGCACTTGCTAAACTGGGTGAACCTTCAGTTGTCAGCCGCTCCCAAAAAGAAGCTTTTCCGTCAGCAGCTGCCCAAAGATCTGACGTTACCAGGATTAAGGCCATTATTGATGTTCTGCATCTGTCCAAACAACAGCTTCACCAAAGTATCTGCAATGCACACACTGCAAGTGATAAAACAAAAGCAACCTCAGACGCCCGAGCCCATTCATATCCCATTCCCCAAAAATGCCACAACCAACACTGTCCGCTGGCTTCCGTCGCTCTCACACACATCAGCATCTCTGTTCACAGCCCAGCACATGCTTTTCTCTCATCTCTTATGGAAGGTTTGGGTGCTGCAGGTCTGACTGCTGCCATTATCTGCGCTCTTAGATAGAGTGGAAACCATCAGACTCGGACCATAGGTGGGGAAATGAAGTATTTTAACACATAGTTTTTCCTTTCTTTGTGTCTGGAAATAGATGTCTCCCTTCAGGTGCCCATATTGCACACTGAAAAGACTCCAAAATCCCAATCCAGCCCTCAGACAACAACTGCTCCACTATTTCTGCCCACCTTCCATATCTCTGCGAGGGCACAAAGTCAGGAAAACAAAGACACGACCTCTTCACTCCACCTGGAAAAAGCTGACATGGCCCTACTTTTCCCAACAGTCCCCCGGATAAAAGCTACGACAAACCACCAAAGAACAGCTTCTCCCCAATCTGGTTCTGCACGCACTTTCATTAACTTCAGAATATCTCCAGCTATTTGCAAGCTGCGGGTTAGAGGAACAACAGAATCATACATTCTCTCCACAAACGATCACAGCAGATGTGTTAAATAACGAGCAAAACGCAGGACGACCTTTTAAACGAGAAAATAAAGCGTGCTTTTGTCTCTTACTGACGCTTTTCTCTGCTCCTTGCAGACTGATGGCAGCAGATGCGGCGCTCCTTCCTCCTTCCCCCACCGATTGGTTCTGCTTTCTGACAGCCGGTCGAGGCAAACCCATGGCGATGCCAAACAAAAACCACCGACCGACCCAACGAAACGCCGCCACCGCCAACACCCAGCCCCAAATCCCACGACAAGGAAGGAATCACTGCTTCCCAGTGGCAAGGAGCTCTGGCTGTAAAACGTGCTCCTGGAGATGAGCCGAGGAGCGAAGGCACTTCCAGCCTGGAGAGCAGCCACAATCCCTAACACTAAAACACCGGGTATTCATTCAGTTACTGCTATATTAAGTGTCTTTTAAGAAACAACAACCCAAAACCACGCCAGCCAGGACTTCTGCATAGGTCAAGAGGATAAGGTTCACATAAAAGACTATTATTTATGAAACCGTAGCCCTCGGGATGTAAATGAAAGGAGACGAGCCATCTGCTGGACCCATAAATCAAGTTCTACGTTACGGGAGAACATCGCTTTAATTTAGCAGTAAATTAAACCATCACTGCGCCAACGGGAACACACAGCACGGCGTTCCCCCATCACAGCACGGGGAGGTCGGTGCCAGCCTGGAGCATCCCATAACACAGCGCCGGCCGAACGGGCTGGGGCCGCCTTTACCAGCAACAGCACTGCCGCTTTGTTCTGGCTTTTAAATATTTTATTTGGGCTCGGGATTCATCATTTTATGCAGCTTTAGCAGCCCAGCCCCAGCCGCGCAGCTCCCCAGGCGCTCTCTCTGCATTCATAATTACTATTATTGGATAAACACGCGCAGGAGCGGGGCAGCAAACGATGCTGGGCGTTAAAGACGGGGGTGGGAGGGGAGAAGGGGGGCTTCAGGTGCTCGGAAAGCGCGCCGCGCGGGGCGGGCTCCGGCAGCACCTCCCGCTGCACCTGCCCGGCTCCGGGGCCGCGCCCACCCCCCGGGGGTCGCGGGGGCCGTCGGCGACCCGGGGGTCGCTCCAGCCCGGCGCTGATTGGCCGCCGCCGACCCCTCCCCTCCCGCGCGGGCAGCGCTGCTCGTGCACGGCCGCCGCTCCCCGCGCCGCCGCGGCGCGCGCCCCTCGCACGCTCCCGCGCCGCCGCCCCGCGCCCCCCCGCCGCGTCCCGGCTGCGTTCCCCCGCCGCAGCCGCCCTGCTCCGCCGCTCGCCTTTTTTCCTTCTTGTTCCCCGTAGCCGCTCTTTAATTGCGACCGCATCCCTTGCGGTCGCATCCTTTCCCGTGCAACTGCATCTCCTGCAATTGCATCCGCTTCCCCGAGATCGCATCCCTTCCCTTACGATCACACCCCTCGCGATCGCATCCTTTGCCTTGCAACCCCGTCTCGTACAATCGCATCCCTTCCCTCGCGGTCGCACTGCATCCCCTCTCGATGCGTCCCCTCCTACCGCATCCCCTCCCGTACGGTCGCACCCATTCCCGTGCAGCCGCTCCCCCCGCCGCTCACAATGCGCCCGCCGCGGCCGCACCCCGCCGCCCATTGTCTGCGCTCCCGCAGCCCCCGGCCCGGGTCTCCCCCCGCCCCGCAGCCCCCGCCCGCAGCCGGCATCGCCCCGCTGGTACCTGCGGCTCCGAGGAAAAACAACGTCCAGGGCAGCGCGACGGCGGGCAGCATCGCAGCCGGAGGGTGGGGAGAGAGGCCACTTCGAAATAGCAGTTCCGTGCGGGCGGAGCACCACGCGGCCCTCCGGATGGATCTTCCCGTTTTTGCCCCGCGTCCCCTTCGCGCCGCTCCGCTCCGCGCGTGTCCCCGCTCCGCCCGCTGCGCCCCGGCCGCCTCCCGGCGCCGCCGCCGTGACTGACAGCGCCGCAGCACAGCGCGGATCCCTGCGCGCCGCTCTCTGGAGCGGGCGGGCACCGCCGTGTCCTTCCGCCCGCGCCCGCCTCAAATAGGCCGCGCCGGTGGGCGCTGGCGGCCGCCCGCAAAACGCGGCACGGAGCGGAGCGGCTGCGGGGTGTGCTTCGTAGGGGGGGAAATGTGTGGAGCTGATCGTGTCACAGAGTGCAAAGTAGCGCGGTTCAGTTGCTCAATGACCATTTCCATCATTAATGCTGTGTGAGCAGACAGCCACATCTCCACATTTCCTGAACACCTCCAGGGATGCTGACCCCACCACTTCCCCAGGCAGCTGTGCCAATGCCCGACCACTCTTCTGGAGAAGAAATTTTTCCTAATATTCAGTCTGAACCTCCCATGGTGCAACTTGAGGCTATTCTCTGTTGTCCTATCATTGTAACCTGGGAGAAGAAGGCAAACCCCCACCTCACCACAACCTCCTTTCAGAGCGCCTTAGAGAGCGATAATCACAGAATCGTAGAATGGCTTTGGTTGGAGGTGACTTTAAAGACCATCATGGTGCCAACCCACCAGCTCAGGCTGCCCAGGGCCCCATCCCACCTGGCCTGGAGTGCCTGCAGGAATGGGGCACCCACAGCTCTCTGGGCAGCAGTGCCAGTGCCTCACCGCCCTGACCAAAGGATTGCTTCCTCACAGCTCATCCACATCTCCCCTCTTTTAGCTTAAAGCCATTCCTCCTTCTCCTGTCACTATCAGACCATAAACAGTCGGTCCTCAAGCTTCTCCAAGCTGAACAAGCCCAGCTCCCTCAGCCTGCCTTCACAGCAGAGGTGCTCCAGCCCTCTGAGCATCCTCGTGCCCTCCTCTGGACCCGCTCCAGCAGCTCCGCATCCCTCCTGTCCTGGGGGCCCCAGGCCTGGGGACAGCACTGCAGGTGGGGCCTTGCAGGGGCAGAGCAGAGGAGCACAACCCCCTCCCCCTCCTCTTCTCTCCCTGCTGCCCCCCTCTGTTGCTGCAGCCCAGGGGGCTGTCGGCCTTCCGGGCTGCAGGTGCACACTGCTGCCTCACGTCCCACTTCTGCCCATCAGGACCCCAAGTCCTTCTCCGCAGGGCTGCTCTCAACGAGTTCTTCTCCACTCTGGGCTCATGTCTGGCACTGCCCCGACCCAGGAGCAGCACCTGGCCTTGCTGAACCTCAGCAGGTTCTCTCGTGCCCACTTTCTGAGCCCGTCCAGCTCTCTCTGGATGGCATCCCTTCCTGCTGTTGTGTCCGCTGCACCACTCAGCTCGGTGCCATCAGCAAACTGCTGAGGCTGCACTCCATTGCACTGTTGAAATCCCATTGTTCCTGTAAGATCTCTTCAGCTCGGGGTTATAAACCACAAAGTGGACTTACTGACTGCATTCTTTAGCCTACCTCAGCGGCTGCTGACAGAACTCACCATCATAGTCTGTCCAGTCAGCCTTATTCCATCTCTGCCTTTGTGCTGTGTTAACAACACTGTGCAAAATGCTCCTCAGGTCTATGCTGCTCTTCTCAGGTTGGCAGGGCAGGCAGTGATGTCCCTTCTGTTTGTAGCTGAATTTGTTGTAAGAAGACTTATCAAAGAGTAAAATCAGTGTCTGCTTTGGTTCCTTTCAGCAGTACGACACAGAAAACTGTTAAGGCCCTTCTGGTGATGTCATCTACCACAAGAATGAAGATGAAGTCATCTAAACTTGAGAGAGAAAATGGCAGTCCAGAAATTCTAAATCTTGGCATTAAAAGCATACATGTCTTGCCCACATACTCCAATACTGATCTCCATGTCTGTCCTGCTCTGCGATTTGCTTGCCACATCTGTGCAGTTCTTAGAAATTATCTGGCAGTTACTTTCCACTTTTATTTTTTATAATAATTTCCAAAGCTCTTCCATCCTTGAAGTTAAAATTTGAAACTTAATGTGCATGCTTCTGCATAGAAAACCATTATACTTACCGTGTGCAGGACATGTCTCATTTTAATAGTCCTAATTTTTTAAAATCTGTTCAGATATTTCAATTTGGAAAGGAGAAAGGCTGTCTGCTGCTCAGAACCCAGTTGGAGTTGGGCTGTGAAGACCTCATCAGGATGAATTGCCTGTTCTTCCATGCTCTTCCCATGTCATCAGTACTGGCTGCTTTAATTGGGAGCGTTCTAATTAGCCAGGACATCACCCAGTGCCTCTCAATAGCAGTGCAGCCATCACTATCACCTAACTGCTTGAGAACAACAGCCATCCTAGCTGAGTCGTTACTTATGCTGACATTAATTGAAGGATTCACCATTGTATTTTATGGGCTAATGTATGGGCAAAACCAGTGCACACAGAATTAGAAGAGATTGCAGCTTTGGGACACCTCTGGATAAATCTGTACCCTTAGGATTCTCTTGCTGGCTAACTTAGGTGGCTGTGTGTTCTGATATATGCCACTCTCAGCTACAACCAGAGCCCAAGGAGTCCCAGACCCCATTCACCATCTCTAATCTCTCATCTGTTACCTCCCAGCAGTGCCTCAGGAGTCCAAAAATCTTTTGGGTCAAAGATTACACATCTGCAAGGCAGGAAAAAAAAAAAAAGAAAAAAAAGGAGGAAAAAAAAAAGAAAACAAAAACCCCATTGCTCTTATCCACAATTCCAATGTGAAGGAAATCTAAGAATTTGTTCAAGAGCTTTTTTCTTTTGCTTTCTGTAGCACCAGCACCAGTTGCTTGGCCCTTGATATAACTGCTCTCTTGTCACATAGGGAAAATTAAAGGGATTTTTCTCCTCTGTGGCAGCAACATGAAACAAGGTCAAATTTTGTGCAGTGACATAGTAGTTGGCTGTTTCTTTTGGCCATTTTTATGCAAATAGAAATACAAAGAAGTCTCTGCTTATAATTATCAAAAGACTTTTCTAAATCCTCCTAATGCTAGAGTTGCTTGGAGAGGGTTCCAAGTGACCCTGTGGCAAAGGAAATCCATTTATTTGTTCTTGGGCGACGTTACCGATATATTGCAAATACTAAATGCAGGAGGAGCTTCTGTTTTGCTTCCGTGTGCTTTAGGACCCTTCTGTCAGGATGCCATTAAATGGTCGTGCACTGCTCAAACATAAGGCTCAGACTTTCAGGAGAGCAAATAAAGCTACGAGCTGACAGAAGGTAAAGAAATTACGCTTCCCAAGTTACTGTTAAAGGACTGGAGACTGAGCTGTTTTATAAGTAAACAAAGTCCTTGGAGAAAGCATTGGAATTTATGGGCTGGACAAGCACATTTCATGAGTTCCACCAATTAGGTTCGCTCTCTAATTCCTGTAAGACCCCAGCAAGAGAAGAGATGCTTTCATTTTCCAGTGCAAGACAAGTCTTCCTAATTCTCCAGAATGAATTGTGCCAGGAGGTGACAAAGTAGGAGGGAGAATAACACAATGGATTTGCATTGTACAAAAAATGTACACGTTGTATCGCCAGGCAAAGTGTTGCACCCACACCTGACACAATGTGAGCAACACCATACTTTCAATTCTCCTCTAGCTGCAAGCCAGCTGGGTAGGGTTGTGCTGATTGCATCAAAACACGCAGGTAGACAGTTACTGAAACAGAAGAAGGAAGAATCTACCTAGAAATCAGGCCAGAGCATAGTCTAAGGCAACTTGAAACCATGCCACGTTTTCCTTCAGTCTTTCAGGGTTATGTCTTCCATTTCCTCACCATTTTTAGTTAAGGAGTTTAAGGCACAGAAGAACAAAGCTAGTAATGGAATGTCGGTCCCTATTTTGCATTATCCTAGCCCTACATTGTCTAAAAATATTTTAGAGAAGATAAAAATGAGGGAAAGTCATGTTTCTGTTTTTGCGTAGTGGTCTTAAGATGGTGCTGAAATGCAGTGAGAAAGAAAATACCCTAAAAAATTCTTGCTGTTGAGGCAGAATCGTAGTTCTTGGACTGAGTTTGTTCTTCACTTTGTTAATGAAGACTGGATCAAGGCATCCTGGAGCCATTTGATCCAGAGGATGATTTTCAAAGGTCTGATGAATCTTTCCTTGATTTTGAAAGACAGATTTCATCCTTGCTGTTTTTATAACACAAACTTGCAGCCCAAGTTGACATGATATTAAGTAATCTCCCAAACGGTGGGATGTAGACAAGCACTTTGTTCCCTTTGCAGGCACTGCCTGTTTTATAAAGCACTGCACGTTAGTGGCTGTGGCAGTTGGTGTCTTTATACCTACAGGTGAAAGGGCTTAGGCTAGCATAAACGCTAATCAAGGCTTCAAAATAGGATTACAGCAATTCCTCGGACGTGTGGCACTGGCTCCCTTCACAGGAGGAAGCTTCATCTCTAATGAGGTGTTTGTTAGGTAACACACAAGTGGCTCTGTGCCTACAGCAGCGACGTGAGCAACACTGGATCGTGTAAGAGGAGGCATTTCTTCTGCAGATGTCTGCCATCTGTACAGCAGCACCGAATCTGTTTGGAGAAGGGCCACACTTAACCAGGGGAGGCAGATATAAGGTGGTTTTTCAAGTCTTAGGAAAAGGAACTGCATCTCGTTGTGCCTAAACGCAGCTAATGTGGGGTAGGTGACACTGCGTGCCACTAGCTGTATTGGTACAATACTGTGATTCAACATGGTCCCTTCTGTTACTTCGCATTTCTGTCTATTATTACTCTCACTCAGCAACGCCAACATAAAACCTGGGTTTTCCAGAGTTCTTGTTTCAAGGCGTCAATCAGCTGAACAAAACTGTAAGGTATAAAAGCAAAATAAAAGGTGTCCCTGGCTCAGGACGGCACACGGCCTGGACGGATGAGACAAAGAAAAGCAACTTGCTGAATACATTGAGAAATTAGATTTAGTGATGCGCCCTGTGTGCCCGTGTGGGTCTGTGGCCAATGGGAAACTGAGAAGCGATCTCCTGGGCCTCAGTTTAAACCATTAACCAA